GAAAATGTAATTCCTGTTGTCACCTTTACTTTTTCTGCAATATCATGACGTGATCCGAGTCAAGCAGAACGTAGGCACTTCTAGGCACTTCTTGATTACAAAGGATTATGCTGATGAGAGTCAGGTATTTCTTTGATACAGCAATATTTATACACATCTAAAAAAGAGCAATACATGGAAAAAGGAACTGCGTAAACCCACAGCAGCTTTCTTGAAAGTACATTAGATGTTACTTCCACTGAAGATCCCAGGAATTTCTATCTGTCTTTTCTCAAACAGGGAGAGTATTGCTACAAATCCACACCTACTACCTGGGCTTTCCTCATCATCCCAAGAGCCTCAGCAAGCTTCACTGACAGAGAAGTTTCCTATATTGCTGCTCTGATCACCAGAACAATCATCCTGCTCTCAAGATGGATTTTAGTCCTGAATGCCTCCAGAAGGGACCTATGGCTGCATTTCTGCTGAGGCCACCTCCCTTACCCAGCGCAGAGCCTGCAGTAAGAAGGCCTTGAGACGCTCGCTCCCTGTAATTAAATCTTTCTTCAGCTTCTCATAATCCACAGAGGGCAACAGTGGCACATCCTGCATGCTCCTGCAATGCAAACGGGAAATACATCCATCAAAGCTTTCTCTTCTTATTCAGTGCAGCTGAAGTTGCTGAGGTGAGAAGAGCCAAAACAGGAAGTGTGTTTCAGGAAAAGAGCTTCCACATTTGAACACCTTTCTTACTTTTATTACCATTACCACTTTAGAACAACAGGCTTTTTAAACTTTGACTTATTTTTTCACCGTGCATGCAGCTCATTGAACATAGTAACTTACAGTCATTAAACTCTGGCAACCAACCAACAGATGATCTGAGCTTTTTAGCGGCACAAAGCAGTACAGTAACATCCTTTTGTGTCCTGTGTGGATCACAAGGGCATGAGGGCAGCAGCTTGTGGCTCTTGGCACATAGTTATAAGCAGACACAGTGACAAGTTGCAGCCCCAACTTCACTTCTAAGCCCTCAAGCACACAGAAATGTCTTCTCCAACATAAAAGTGATAGACTGAACAGATTTTTACAGGCTGGACTATGCAGGTTTAACATAATAATTAATATACGACCACTTTCCACACACCAGTACTATCTTGCTATTTTGAGTTTTAATACTGCAATAGAAGCTTTACTTAACAAAATTACTTCTAGTCAATTCTTAATTTTACTATTTAAATTTATTCCACTAAACAATTTTTACTCTCTTCCTACCCTACGACTTTTCAAAACAAATTTGATGTTATGTGTATAATTGTCCCTTTAATTATCTTGTAAACAACAGAAGGATCAAAACAATGTCTCAAAAATTTAATTAAACCTTCACCTCAGATATACCATCTCTATTCAATCTTACAAGCCAAAATTTATGAAGTCAGTCACAAAAAAATTAACTTGAAGCACCTAAAAATCCATGTTACCAATTCCGCTTTTCCCTA